TAGCACAGCGGTAGGGCGTTTGCCTTGCACGCAGCCAACATGGCCGACCCGAGTTCGATTCCTCCGCCCCTCTCGGAGAGCCCAGCAAGCTACCGAGAGTATCTCGCCCGCACGGCAGAGCCTGGCAAGCCACCCGTGAAGTATTCGATATGCCAAACACAGTAACAACAAAGTCTCCAATGGAGACATTACTGGGCCCGCTCGAGCAAATCGATGATCAACGGGAGGGCCTTTACCTTTACCTTTATGTATATACAGTGTGGTAATCAACTCAGGGCCTTACCCCTGCAAGGCATGTTCTCTACTGCTCAGCTCTCTCCTGACCCTTGAGCCAATAACATTTTCTCAAAAAATAAATATTATATATGCCATGGTCAGGTTTGAGTCACAGATTCAACCAGACTATTGCACAGGGAGATGTTTCCAAAGCAAATTTCCCTCTTCTTGCCACCAATTTAGTCAAATAAACTACACTTGTCCATCGCTGTAGCAAACCTCACTCCCAGGCCTTCATTCCTTCCCGTCCTGAAAGGAGGCAGAATCAGCCCTGGGAGACGGAGCACAAGCTTTGTATGTGGGAGCCTGGGACGATCCCCAGCATCATATGCTCCCTGGAGCTCTGTGCCGGGAATTGCCCCAAGCATGACCAGGTGTGGCCCCCAAACAAAGCAGAAGAAAGCCCAACGTGAGGGCATCCCCCGGCTTTACAATCCTGCTGACCAGGAAATTGTGTTGGCATTGGGGAGGCCTAAGCAGGGAGGCACCAGGCTGCTTTGTAATCGATTCAGTCACATCCGACACACCCAGGCGCCACTCAGAGACAGATGTCTGCAGTGTAGCACTCGCTGGGATATTTCTGGGGATGGATCGGAGAAGAGAGTTCCCGCAATTTTCCAGGTGATTCTGATTAGCCTTGGTGGCTCCTGGCGGAGGCGGTCCCAGTCTTTTAGGGAGGATGAGCTTGGGGTGTGGGGGGAATGGTGGGCCTGGGAATCCCCCATCAGTTGTCTAAGCCGTTGCCGGATGAGCTCATGGTGGCAGGGAATGCTCGAGAGCCCGGCATGTACATGGAAGTCATTTCCCTTCCTTTGGCAGCTTGATCGTTTCCAGAGCTTTTGCAGAGGACAGATTCCACCCTTCCACCCTGTTCAGAACTTGGCCTTGATTTTGCTTGTGGAAATTAGTCACCTAGTTCTAATATTGCCCCTGTAGCCTCTGCAGGCGAACCGGCTCCCTTGGATCACAAGGCCGAGGCAAGGACCCGGAGGGACAGGGGATGGAGGGATGAGGACGCTTTCTCGAACAGCGGCATCAGATGAGTGCAGGTCCTAAAAGTAATGGGGGGTATACGGCAGGGGAGAGAGAGAGAGAGAGAGACAGAGACAGAGACAGAGACAGAGAGACAGAGAACGAGAACAGAGGCAGAGTTACAGAGAGAGAGAAGAGAAAAGAGGGGGAGAGAGAAGGTACAAGGGTTCAGGGCCATGCTGTGAAGGCAGGCTGACCCTGGTCCTATCTCCAAAGCCACGGGGTCCCCCAAGATGCAGCCTTGGAGCCTAAACTGCATCCTTGGACCATTGCATGGAGATAGCGGCCCAGCCCGGTGACTGGGACTCTCAGGGAGGGGCCCCTAAAGAAAGAAAGAAAGTCACGAGTGTGTGTGAGGAGGATGAGCAGCAGCGACTCCTGAGCTGAGCCATGTGATTTCCTTGTCACAGAGTGAGTGAGACACCCCAGGGACCCACTCTCTGTGCCAGTCACATGAAATGTTTGTCAGCGGTTCTGGGTCTTCCTGTTCTGCACGTTAAACACCCGCCTGTCTGCAGCTGCCTGGCCTGCTGCTCGGCCGTCTTCCATGGGCCCTTCACCCTCAGCCCTGAGCTTCAGGTCTGTGACACTGTGCGTCTGCTGACCGGGACACTGCCCAGAGGCCACCCTCCCCTCCCGTCCTGGGTGTGCTTCTGTGCTGACCTCCTCCATGTAGCCTGATTTGGGGCCCCTGTGATTTGGGGCCCCTGTGTTCCCTGCTCAGGATGGAGCCAGCTTCAGACATTTCTCCAGGAAGCTGCAGGGACCCAGGTCATGTTCAGAGCCCCACTGGGCAGTGCTGGGGAGTGGCCCTCGGTGAGAAGGGGCTTTGGACAAGCAGCATCTGGTCTAGCGCAGAAAGGCAGCTGGGCTGGGAAAGACCTGTGAGGGCCTTCTTTTCCACGCAGGGACCTCAGAAAATGAATCAATAATAAATAGCAAATAATACTAGGGGTTGCCTTGCCCTTTTGCTTTCGCGCAGAGGAGATACACAATTGAAGGCATATGATTATGGAAAAAAAAAAGTTAAATTCTGTCAGTGTAACAAGTAGCAAAACCAATGCCTGGAATTATATCACTGATGTTCAAGGGGGGTATTTAAGTGGTTGAGATGGAGTCTGTGTGATCTCTCTCCAAAGTTTCCACACGCCTCTCTCCCTCCCTCTTTTCCCCCTTCTCCCTCCCTTCTTACATTTCTTACAAGAAGAAATTAGAAATACTTAGATTTACTGACTGTTTGCCCTGTATGCCAAACTTTGAGTAAGATTTAATCGAAAACAACACAACAGAGAATTTTTTTCCCCTCTGTCCCTTTCTCAAATATATCTGTTGAAACCTAGTTGCCAGTTGGCGGTCTTTGAGGATGGGGCTTTTCGGGTGGGGGGTGTGATTTGGTTGTGAGGACAAAGCCCTCCTGACTGGGATTGGTGTCCTTTACTTAGGGGCACCAGAGAAGCCCTTTGGTCCTTCTGCCGTGAAGGATGCAGGGTCCTGGAACAGGAAACCCTCCATAGCCTCCCAAACTTGGAGAAACCCTGCTGGGTGAACCCGTCTGCAATATTCTGTTCTCGACCAGACAGCAACAGGTCTCTGTGTGCTTCAGCTACGCCTTTTAGTGCCTTAGACCTATCATTTCAGAATCGGCTCAGATTTATAAGTCCAAGCGACTTAGAAGCTGGTGCAATTCTCCAGAGCGCAGGGAGAAGGCAGGGCCATGTGCGTACGACTCTCTGTCACCATCTAGAGGCGATTTGTACATATTGCAGGGCTAGTGCCTGCATTCGACTGCCAGTGACTGCGTGTAACTGCATGATGGGAACCCAACCTGCCCAGAACGCATGGCTGTGATGCATTACCGACTGACCCGGATGAAAGAAACGGGACCTGTCAACTTTGAATGAATGGAGCGCTGAGTGCTGATCACTTGCTCTAGAGCGTGTGTGTGTGTGAGAAATGAGTCTTGGCTTCTGGGGGGTGGTGTGAAGGGCTGGACTCTATCTACAGAGGCTAAGGGGGAAGAGAAGTGGACTTGGACATGGTGCCCACGAGGAGGCCTCCTGTCTTTCAAAGGGAGGACATGCAAGACCTGTTTGCCCTGTTGAGTGAGAGTCCACGAAGATGAGGTTGATGGAGAAAAAGGCTATGGAATCTGATGGCAAAGGGGGACCGTTTGGGGGTGTTTATGATTATTCCTCTGGGTTCTTCCCAAGGCTACTTTTGCTCCCCAGGGCACATCTGGCGGTGTCGCAGAATGCTGGCATGACGGGAGGCGTCAGGAGCAGCCAAAGCTTCTGCTCAGCCTCCCACAAGGGAAAGCGCAGTGCCGGTCACACAACGAAAAGCACCTGGTCTCCGGTGCTAACCCCCTCATTTGCTTGATCGTGACTCACAGTGCAGAAGTCTTCATCTGTGGCTGGTGACATGAGTCCGTGAGCGTCGTGGCTAACGGTTCCCAATGCCCATGTTTTTTTTATGTCCAGTTTGTTCCTGACACTGCAAAAAGCCGAGGGTCTCCTTGCCGGCCTCAGGCACAGGTCCTGATGACTTACAAATATGCACATTGGGACTCTGCTCTGAAACTTGGGGATCAGAATGTGTGTGGGACCCTGCCTGGGGTCCCTCTACAAAGCCAGTGTCCAGGTGGTCGGGCCACACATTTGATCAGCAGGGGGACGCGCTTGAAGAAGCAACTCAAGGGCCCCTCACCTGGTCTCACTTTGAAAACCCCAAAGTGCTCAGAGAAATCTGCCCAGCTCCCGCCTCAGAGACCCTGGGCAGGGGGTCTGTTTGCTTCCGTTTCAGATGCTGCCCTGGGGGCCAGGGAGTTGAGGGAGATTGTTGTCTAGTTATCCAGTGTGTGTGTGTGTGTGTGTGTGTGTGTGTAAGGGAGGGGGGCGGGGAATATATTTCACTCCTCACTACAAGCACCGGGGAACAAGCCAGTGGCCTGGCACGCGGCAAACGGGACCACCACCCCCTCCCGCAGCCACCACCCCCTCCCGCAGCCGGGGCCTGCGGCTGGAGATGGGGGCAGCCCGCTTTGTTGTGGCGGGTTTGTGTATTGAGAGTGGGGGGCCCAGGGGCAGGATTCCAAGCGGAGGAGAAGAAAGCAGGGGGTCTGGGACTGGAGGGAAGGCCCTGAGGATCCAGCCGCTCCAGTTCGGGCAGCGACCAGGCCCAAGTGCGGGCTCCCCCGAGGTGCCGGAGTTGGGCGTCACTGCTCCCCACATTTGGAGCGCCCCGAAGATGAGCAGCCGCTGGTTCCCTCCTCGTTCGCAGGGGCCGCTCCCCGCAAGCCGGCGAGGACGGGGCTCCTGGAGGGGCGGGTGCAGGAGGCGCGCGCCTTACCTGAGCCCCCTCCCCTCTGCCCAGCCCAGTCCCTCCCCGCCGCCGTGGGCCCGGCCTGACCCGGGGCGCCCGCTCCCCTCCCCTCCCCTCCCCTCCCCCCCTCCCCCCCGCCCCCTCCCTCGGAGCGCGCCCCAGCCAGGAATCCCACGCCCTTGCCCCAGCCCCGGGGCTCGGCCGGGCCGGGGAGCCGCGGGTCGCCAATCACGGCGCGGTGGAGAGGCGGGCGCTCTCGGCTGGGGCGCGGGGGGACGCCAGCTGGCGCGGCCGGGCCCGGGAGCCGCAGACGCGCGCACAGACGCCGCCGGACGCCTCGACGGGCGCGGGAGGAGGGCACGGCGCGGCGCTGCCGGGCCATGTGAGCGGGCGGCGGGCACCGGGGGGCGCCGCGCTCCGGGCCGGCGGGGACGATGCGCGCCGCCCGCACCTGACCATGGAGTGCGCCCTGCTGCTGGCCTGCGCGCTGCCCGCCGCCCGCTCGGCGCCCGTGCTGCAGGCAGGTGCCCGGCGGGCCGCGGGGTGGGGGGCGCCGGGGCCGGCGGGGGGCGCCGGGCTCACGCGCCCCGTGCCCGCTTCTCTTGCAGGCGCTCCAGCTGTGCTGCCTCTGCTGCGCGTCGGTCGCCGCGGCCAGCCACAGCGGCGGCGGATTAAACGAGGGTTCGTATCTGCGCCCCCTCCCCGCCGCCTCTGCGCCCCCCTCCCCTCTCCCCCCCCACCCCGATCCCGAGCGCTTTGTCCTCTCCTCCTGCCACCCACCACCCCCGGGGAGCGGGGAGAAAAAGCACATCTCCCCGGACCTGCGGGGTCTGTGCGCGCGCGTCCCGGACGCCGCGCCAACTTAGGGAAAGAGCAGGAGAGTTTGCCTCCTTCTCTTCCTCCGAGAAAGTCAAACCCCTCAGGTCCGGAGTGCGGTGGGGACTTAGCCAGGTGGGTAACAAGGCTTCCTTCCTGCTCCGGGGAAACCTGCAGGTACCCACAGGGGCGCGGGGCTCTGGTGGACGCGGGGACTCGTGCAGTTCCTTTTCCTCCCCTGGCGAGGTTGCAGAACACCTTTCCCTCCTGTGGTTTATCATTCCCCACCACCACAAGGAACCCCCAGCTCCGAGGGTTGTCCCTGGTCTGGAAGGGCCCGTCCTGATCTCACCTGGATGCCCAACCACCGCCGGCTCATTTTTATCTTGGGTTCCACCTTCCTCCATGGGATGGCGGGTGAGGACAGTTCATGGGGAAGGACTGTGCCAAAAATTGGAGGGAGGGAGGGGGTGCGGGCAGGAGAGAGCCACCTTTTGTCCCAACAAAAGACTGGTGCTGTGGTCCAGAGAGATAGTACAGTGGGGAAGGCGCTTGCCTTGTTACACAGTGAGGTGGGTTTCGTCCCTGACACCACCTGTGGACCCCTGTGCTCCGCAGGTGTAACCCCCAAATCATATTCATGATAATAAAGAGGCTGGTACTCACCAGCCTCACCTGGTGGGGTCCCGCTGGCCTGCCGCTGACTATGGAGTTGAAATACCTGAGCAGAGAAGATGCGGGTGGGACCTGAGGTCTCCCCCATTGGGCTTGGCCTCCACCTGCTAGGGAACAGCCCTGAGCAGGTGTTTTTGTGGGGGAAGGGCTTTCCTGCTGGATGCCCCGGAAGGGCCAGCGGGGTGAGGCGCCAGCATGAGTGCCCCTGGGAGCAGGCAGAATCTGATGTTTTGGGACAGGGAGGTAAGAAACAACTTACTACGGAGCCCCAGAGGGGGTCTGAGGAGTGGGTTGCACTTGGGTTTATGTACTGGGGAAGGAGAAGGTAGGATTTTGCCAAGAAAATTAAAAAAAAAACTACTTTTAATCCAGAGCCTATAAAGCAATGTAATAGAGCGTCTCTCCCCCCACTCCGCCCCTAGAGAGAAGTAGTGTTATATCCTGTATCTTTTTTGGGGGGGGGTTCACACCCAGCGATGCTGCTCAGGGGTTGCTCCTGGCTCTGCACTCAGGAATCACTCTTGGTGGTGCTCGGGGGACCATATGGGATGCTGGGAATCGAACCTGTGTCAGCCATGTTGGCTGCGTGAAAGGCAAATGCCCTACCCGCTGTGCTATCCCTCCTGCTCTGTTTTTTAAGGTAAAGGCAAAACCACCTGAAGAGTGGGAGCTACTTAAGCAGTTGAGGTCAGAGAGAAGGAGGTATGCACTAGAGAACAGTTAAACTGTCATATTTTAAAATATAGGCCAATTAAATGATCACCCGTTAATTCCTTCCAGCTCGGCAGTAATTTGGGGTTTTTTTTTTGGGGGGGGGTGTTGTTGACTATTTTGGGAAAAGGGAACTTGCTCCTTTGTTCCCTCCTCCGTTCCCCAGGAACCCCAGTGACTCAAACATGCCTCTTCTTCGATGCTGAGCATCCTCCTAAACGCTTTCCAAATTAGTTCCCCGTTCTCTACCTAGAGAGCGGACACGCTCGGGAGTGTGCTAGGGCATATTCCGACTCGCTCTGTGCAGGGATCTTTTCAGCAGCAAGGGTTTGTGCTAGAAGCCAGCATGCTGGCTTGGTTGGGGGGTGTGTGTGTTTTCCAGCAGCAAAGGGATGTCTAGCTCCTCCTCTCCCAAACAGGCAACAATTAGCGGTGCCCGAGGGAATCACGTGCAAGTCTCTGTAAACAGGCCTTTCCAGGTGTCCCGAGATGGGACACTCCCCCACCAACATGCCCGAGCAGTTTGGAATGCCAGCCGAGGGGGGCACTTCTGACAATCCCAAAGCATTTCTAGGCCTCCCCTGTGTTTGAGGCTCACGGTTCAAGGGGGTGGGCGCTCAGCGTGAGCTGTGAATGTCCCCGGGACTGTTCAGCGAGCTCCCAGCTCGGCAGCCCTGTCGTCATGGTAGAACCGACACTGGGAATCTAAGACTGCTGCAACTTGTTAATTATCCCCAGTCTCATCTCGAGTTACGGAGCCCCCGAGAGTTCTCATTTGAAATTTAAACTCTGCCCCCCCTCAAAATCATACCCCCAATTTGGTTTCAACGCAACGATATTAATCTCCCTGAAAACAAATGGCATTCCTTTTGTGGTTTTATACTTAATAATTGAGTCTCCCTTTCCCTCCTCGCCCCCCCAACCCCCCACCCCCTGTCAGTCTTCGCCTTGCAATGGCTGTTGGCTAATGTAGATCAAGGCCAGCTGCTGCCTCCAACCCCCCCCCCCCCCCCCCCAGTGTGAGTCCCGTGGCATCTGGCACAGATATCCTTGACCTTCGTGGACATTGTGCTTGGCTCTTTGTTTCCGTGGGCAGCCCTAGGACGTTGCTCACTGCCAAGGCCAATTCCGGTGCGCCCGGATCTCTCCAAACTCTCCATTGTTGGCATGCTGGCAGTGGTGGAAGTAGAGGAAGGTCTTTGGAGCCCTTCCTGCCCTTTGCCAGGCCGCTGGGTGGCACCCGGGGGCACAGTGAGATCCGGGTGCTGACCGTGAGACCCTTCCCCTTTGCAGATTACGTCTTTGTCACGCCGGTGGAAGTGGACTCGAGTGGCTCCTACATTTCCCACGACATTTTGCACAGCAGCAGGAGAAAGCGGTGGGCGCCGAGCCCCAGCCGCTCCCGGCATTACCGATTTTCAGCATTTGGACAGGAACTGCACTTGGAGCTGAGGCCGGCGGCAATCTTAAGCAGTCACTTCAGCATCCAGGTCCTGGGAAAGGACGGCACCCCCGCACCCCACGAGCCCCAGGTGCCTCGCTGTTTCTATCAGGGATTTATCCGCAATGACAGCACCTCCTCCGTGGCCGTGTCTACGTGCGCCGGGCTGGTGAGTAACCCGCGGCTCGGCGTCCACCCCTGTCATGTGTTTTCTATAATGTGAATGAACAGATGTCTGCAATATGAAGGGCTGTCCCCGGCCAACTCGACACATTCGCACTGTCAGCTTTGATACTTATAATATTCTCAATTGAATTAATCTAATCTGCTCCCAGAAAAAAAAGGAAAATATAATAGAACTTTAATTACCATTTAGAACATTCTTTTGATGTTTTAATGGTCTGGGCCTTTTCATTCTCTGCGTTTGAGACGATCCCCAAGGAAATTAATTTGATGGACGCCACTCGTTTTGTCAAGCCTTGAGAGACCAGGCTTTCTGGAGTCTAACAAGCCGCGGGCCTCGAAGCTGCTTTGAAATGGGAAAACTGCATTTCAATGCAAGATTGCCAGCAGCAGCCCTTGGAAGCCCAGGCTCCACTGGAGGGGGAAGGCTCTTTGTTTCCTTTGAGCCGATCTGCTGGTGTCCCCGGCTCCTGTCAGAGGGAGGGTGTCCCGTCCAAATGCGACCACCGTGTGTCTGGGTTAGTGGGACAATTCAGAGTGGGCTCGGGACGGAGATCTCAGAAGACCTTTGGGACATCATTCACTGCTTCCCTGTGTCCCCCTCGTCTCTGCAGTTCCAGGCCGAGAATATGGGAGGTCAATGGTATTTTTCTCTGGATTTAATCGAGCTCTACGTGGAGCAGTACCTTGTGATGTGTAGGGGCAGCGTTGCAACTGGGAAGGGGCTTGAGCTCGCACAAAAGCCTGTGTGCGTTATTCTGGGATACTGGGATGGGGAAAATTGAAGCAGCCTGACGGGGTCTGGAGCTAGCAATGTACATGCTGGGTGACCTGAAGCCAGAAAGGGGTAGCCAAGATGCTGGCAGATGAGACTCCCTCATGCTCTTCGCTAATTAATTGATAATTGTGGGGGACTTTCCAGGCAATGCTCAGGGGCCCCTCCACCAGCCAGCCTGGCCAGAACATTCATACAGAGGAAGACTGCGAGATGCCACTTATGAACACTCTTAAAAGAGGCTAAGTCAAGCCATCGTAGGGGCTCAGATAAAGGTTCTTTCTGGTATGACAGGAAGTGGTTCTATTTATGGATAATGTCCTGCATGAGCTGGGTGATGGGAAGATGGGTGTGAACTGTGAAAACCCATTTGATGGCATTCTCTGATTTGGAGGCATGTTTTTGTAAATCTGCATCATAAATTTTCTAAAATCGGCAGCACGCGTTAACTTTACCACAACAAGTGCTCAGCTTCTAGGCTGTGGTTCTCTCCTTCTCGCTTCCTTATTGTTTGTTTGTGGCTCACAGTTGTGTAGCAGGCTCGTGGGAGGTCAGGGACACCAAGGGCACAAGGGCACTTGGTTCTCTCCCTTCTCCCAGTGGGCCCTAATAGGGTGGAACTGAAGGAATAATCAAGTGAGTAGATGATTTGCCAGGAAGTGCTGAAGCTCCCAGAGGTCATTTCAGGTGGCTCAGGAGAGACAGCCGAGGCCTAGAGAATGCAGTTAACTAAGTTTCAGTTCACATGGGCCTTAGACACATGAGGATGTGGCTGTTGGTCACTTCATTCAGAAGTGAGTCTTTTCTTCAGGATAAATAACCTGACACCTAATCCCATGAAACCTGGAGTCGGATTCACTCACCCTCACGAGGGGCTCCATTTTGCTGGGACTAGTCTGGCCCAGAAGCACTGGAGCTGGGCCATTCTCTCCCCAAGGAGCCCTGCTTCCCCCGTGAGTCCCACTTCAGAAATTCAGAAAGTCAGAAGATAACTCAGCCTTGCCCAAGGTCCCTCTAGCAAGTGCTGCTGAATTACCCTGAGCAGACTGCTCTTTGCTGTCTACTTGTTGGTGGCCATGCCAGTGGCTTCTTTTGAGGCTATTATGAAGAGTATGCAGCAAAAAGTTCTTGTATGTGCAGTTTGGTGAATTTATTATGGACACATTTTGTTAGGAAGATGGCAAAGAATAAAGACGTAGGCTAAAGGTCTGTATATGCTCAGCTTCTGTAGATTCTGTCAACTGTCCCTTGAAGTGACTGTACTAGTTATCACTGTCACCAGTATATGTGAGTTCTGGTTGTTCCACATCCTTGCCAACATTTACAATTGTCTGTATTTTTCATTTTAGTCACTTTGATGGGCATAAATTGGTGCCACATTATACTCTCTGTTTGCATTATTTGAGTAGCATTGTGAAGTTCAGTACCTTCCCTCACGCCAACTGGCAATCTATATGCCCTTGTGTGATCTAACTATTCAAGCTAAATTGTGTCTTTTCCCGTCTTTGAATGGAGCAAGGAATTCCACTGTACCCAAACCCCTTTACTAACTTAGTACTTCTGAGATTCTGACTTTGAATCTCTAGCAATGTGATTTAGAAGGCAGTGATAGTGAGCACTGTATGACTCCTTAAATTTCCACACTGAGGAACTACTTCTCTAGTGCGATGGGGATAAGGGATATCTTCATCCTGCTGCTACCTGTGGTCCAGCCCAGTGACCACTTTCTCTCAATTTACTTAGCAACAGATGAAATGGATTCAAAAATAGCGAATGTCCAAGAGTTCAGAAGAGGAACAACTTTCTCACCTGTTTGCTAGAGACTTATCAGAGCTAGAAGACACTCATCAAAGCAAGACTTAGCATGTACTAAAAGAGAAGAAGCAATTCTTCTTCCCTCTGGATGGTCACGGACATGAGATGAATGAAACAAAGTAATGAACCACTTGTTGTCTTTATATTAGTCTTGCCGTTGTCAGTGGAGAACTGGCCTTGCTTTCCATTACAGGTTCTAGCTCTCCCTCAGTGCACACAAAGTGTGTTTAACACAGAAAGACATAAATAACGGGAAGAAAACAAAGCACCAATCAGCAAGAATGCTAGGGAAACCTAGGAGAGATAGGAAAAGGCAAAGGATTACTATGTGCGTGTGTGCGTGCGCGCACACACACACACACACACACACACGGCTACAATTGCTCTAGCATGGAATTTGCCTCCATCTTTCAGAATTTCTCTTAAAAAGCACACCCCTCAATCCCATACTGACAGCTCCCAGTCTATTCCGGACCCGAGTAGGTAATCTTCCACTTGGAGCAAGTCATAAGAAAGGCATTGCAAACTTCGCTGAGTGAATCCTGCCTTCCGTGATGTCTGGGGTGATCATTCAAAAGTTTCTCAGTGCTCTTGGATGGGAACATCTCTTTCTCTGGCACAGTCCCGTCCCTGCTCCCTCATACTCCATAAAGGACTGCGTTTATGGCCTTTGTCCTAAGGTCTCAGAACCACAGTCCAGTCACTGGGTCTTATGCATCCTTCCTGCAGTGTGCAGCCTGTCCTTGCCTGGATAAGAAAGGTCGTATACCTAGGAAACCATGCTGTTGTTGGAGATATTTCTTAACTTTTCAAAAAAATTGAAATAATATGGATTTACAGCATTGTATGTTTTAGGCATTTGGCATAAAACCTAACATCTGTTGATACTACCTTGTGATCCCTACAACAGTCTAGTTTCTACCCATTACCAGAGAGTTGTCCCTCCTCTACCATTTCACCCATCTTTCAATCCCCTTCTTTCACAAAGGGAAAAACCAATTTGCTCTCTGCACATAAGAGTTTTATTTTATCTGCTCTGTTTATCTTCTGCATGTGAGTGAAATTGTTTGTCTCTTTCCTTTGACTTATGTTACTTCGTATGACCTAACCATTGCTGCAAGTGGAAAGATTTCACCACCTCTTAAAAATAGTTTTAACTATTACTAGTAGTGTTCCTGTGTGTGTGTATGTGTATGTGTGTATGTGTATGTGTGTATAGTTAAATATGTAAGCTATATATTCCGCATCATTTTATATTCGTCTAACAACAGGTACCTAGGCTTGTTCCCTTATCTTGGCTATTAAGCTGTAATGAAAATAGGTGTGCATATAAGTTAGTGTTTTTTGCTCTTTGACTAAATGGCCAGGAAGTGGAAGGGCTTCATCTTCCACATGGAATTTCGACTAATTTTCAGAGACAGCTGTATTCTGATTCTCATAGTGGTTGCCCTGGTTTGCTTCCTACCCCAGCATTCTCCGCTCTCTCATGGATTCCTTCCTTCCCTATGCCTGATGGCAGTTCCCCGAGGTGAGAGGTGAAGTCTCACTGGGGTTCTGATGGACTGAGGAATGATGAGCATGCTTTCTTGTACCTGTAGGGCCACAGGTCCAAGGAGACCTTCATCCTGAAGTTGAACTGCAGTCTGCCTCTTACATAGATGCCACCTGTTGTTTCTATGTTTTGTTTTCCGGGATAGTTATCCAAACCTGGATCTCTCTTCCCGCACTGCAGGAGATCTCAGAGACCTTTCTGCTCATACATGTTCTTCTTTCATGCTTCTTTCTGCAAGCATGATCATTTTCCATGTGACCTCCACATAGGTGTTAAGACAGAAGTTTCTTTCTTTCTTTCTTTCTTTCTTTCTTTCTTTCTTTCTTTCTTTCTTCCTTCCTTCCTTCCTTCCTTCCTTCCTTCCTTCCTTCCTTTTTCTCTTTTTTCTTTCTTTTGGTTTATTTATTTTTGTTTTGTGGGTCACATCCAATGATGCTCAGGTGTTACTCCTAGCTCTGCACTCAGGAATTATTCCTAGCAGTGCTTGTGGATCATATATGATGCCAGGGATTGGACCTGGGTCAGCTGCTTGCAAAACAAATGCCCTACCTATTGTATTATTGCTCTGCAGACAGGATTTTTTTAATCTACAACAAGCCTAGGGAGGTAAAGTTCAGTAAGTCATGTTTTTCTTTTGTTTTAGGTTGGTTTGCTTGTTTGGGGGTCATGCCTGGTTCATACTCAGAGCTTTCTCCTGTCTCTGTGCTCAGGAATCATTCCTGGTTATGCTCAGGAGACCACCTGTGGTCTGGGGAATCAAACCAAGTGCCTTAACCCCTGTACTATCTCTCCAGCCCAAAGCAGGCATGTTTTCCATTCTAACAATTTGGATGCAGGCTGGCAT